TCTTGGTTTGTGATTATTTCACTCTTTTCTCTCTTCCTTCTAGAATTCTTGTGAAGAAGATCTGTCAAGAAGAACCGGTTCTCTGCCGACACTTGGAGAGTGTGAACAGCCGAAGGGTTCTCTGACCACACTTGGAGAGTGTGAACAGCCGAAGGGTTCTCTGCCCACACTATGAGTGTGAAAGGACGAAGGGTTCTCTGCCCACGCTAGGAGAGTGTGAAAGGACGACGGTTCTCTGCCAACATTGGGAATAGTGTAAAAGGACGATGGTTCTCTGCCGCACCGGGTAGTGGTGGAAAGAGTGTTTGTAAAGGCTTCTCCGCCTTACTGTGGGTGCAAAAGGAGAGTCACTATTTGTATTAGTGCAATACTCGGAAGGTGCCTCCGGGGAGTGGATGTAGGTTTGGTTTTGACCGAACCACTATAAACCTCGTGTCTTTATTTTTCCACTGCCTTTGTTATTTTTGTGTTTTTACTTTTAAAATTGTGGTTGAAAAAACGTTTTCTACAAAACTCGTTAAAGCTTATTTTTCGGTTTAAAAAATCAAAAAGATGGATTAATTTTTAATTACCAATTCACCCCTCTCTTGGTTAGCCGCTGGGACATAAGCTTAGGTTTAACAAACTAATTCATAGTGAACGAGTTTCAACATTATATGCTACATTTTTGTGCATGTATGAATACCCAAACAGTCATTTCTTAGCATTATGGTAGTAGCAAACCCAATTGTAGTATTTATACCACTTAAACATATTTTTTGGCATGGTGAGTAGGCCTAATATTTCTTTCAAAGCCTCCTATACGGGTTAATGTTGCAATGCTGCCAAATTTTGAACTACCAAGACTTAAACAGGACAACCAAAATGAGTATACATGCAGCAAAAGAATAAAACTAAAATAAAAATTAATTTCCGAAAAGAAGATATAAATGAAGCAAAATTGCAAGCATGGAAACAGAGCAAAACACAGAATTTGACTTGAAGTGAAATAATAGAGAAATTTAGACTCGAAGAACTCACCTAGGGGTGCAAACAGAACGTCCTTGTTCCAATAATACCCTCAAAACCTTAGAGTTGATGAGAAATGGAATGGTAGAAATGAATTGTACTAGAGAAAAAATGACAGACATATGAAGACAAAACTGTCACTTCATGGAGCACCTATAAGATTCTACTTCGCCAAAAAAGATTTTAAGTTGCAACAAGCAACATTGGATTTACAACACACAGGCAATCGATTTGAAGGCTTCTTTGAAATTCAAACAAGAAACATTGCATGCATCTTAATGATGTACATTCATGCAATCAATAAAAACCTAGACAATTTCAATTCCTGCAAGTTTAACAATCGAAAATCCTGTAGAAGTATTAAAACTAGTGCAAGCCTATTATGCCTGTGCACCAAAAAGAGTGTAATTACATCATATAGTTGCACGGAAAATTATGCAGGTCCACCACATAAATAAACTCAATAAAAAGCTTATGTCCTGCATCATATAAGTGTGCTAAAAGTGTGCAAACATACTATGCCAACGCATTGGAAAGTATGAATTGCATCGTGTAAATACTCCGAAAAAGAGTGCAAATACATCAAAAAGCATACAAGTGCGCCATTCAAATGCAATGAAAAACATAAAAGTGTATTAAAAATTGAGCAAAGGCATGGTGCAAATGTATCAAAAAACGTGCAAGTACACAATGCAAAATTATTGAAAAAAATGTGAACACACCATGCAAGCACATTAAAGAGCATGCAAATACATTGTGCAAATACACAAAAAATTGTATGCGTATTTAAAAAAATGTATTAAAAGGCATGCATAGCATATCAGATCAGCAAAATTAATTTTTCCCATAAGTGCTCTGACAAATACACCAACCTCTTAAATTTAAAGCCTAAAAATACTCCACGGGTTAAAGAAAGAAAGAAAAGATAAATAAACTCAAATCTTTCCCACCCTAGGAAGCATGCGAATAATTTAAGAGTCCCTAAGTTATTTTTAAAAACACAACCTCCTTTTCAAAAAAAATCAAATTTTAAATAAATTAGTGCACACTATCTAGTGGAGAGCCCTACAAATAGGGTAGGTTCTTAAGTCCAATATTTCAAATCTGATCTCCCACCTCCCAAGAACTAGAGATAACAAAACTTAAACCCCGTGACAATTATCTACAAAATAAACCTAAAATGACAAGTTATATTTAAATTTGAAAAAGGCCTCAAATACCTTTACCAAAGTAAATCTATTTTCAAAATGCAAACTCATGATGTCTCATCTACAATATGCAACAGTAAGCATTAATCACTTGATGCTTCACAAGTTGGCAAAATTGACAATCTCGAACAACAAAATAAAAAAATCCAAAGACCTCCATAATGATAGTATTGACAAAAAATCTCAGCCGAATGAAACTTTTTCTAAAATACCTCAAAATCATAAAGCATATGTTATACCGGTCCAGTGGACCGGTCCAGCCGGTCCACGCGGGACCGGCCGAGACACGAAACGGCGGAAATTTTCCGCCTGGGCGGAGGCCGCACGAGCCGCTCGACTTGCGGGAGCGTTTTAGGAAGCGTTTTTGAGGGCTTTGAGAGGGAAATTTGAACGCAGGGACTGTTTAGGGAATTCCTTTTGATTTGTATGCATTAAATAGTTGATTTTGGGAGGGTTTGAGTATCTTAAATTTGGCTGAAATTTGAGATCTCTTAGATTTAGGTTTTCTTTGGGCTCTAGCGGCGTCTAGAGATTTGGGAGAGATCGATCCTCCTCTCGAATTGAGAATCAATTGTATCTTGCTGTTTTTATTCATCTACTAGTGAAATACAAGCTTTCCTTTGAATTTTCTCTCAGATTTTCCCGGACAAGTGCTATTTTTCTGCTGTAAACAGCAGATTTCTGCTGTTTTCCTACAGTGGACAGCAGTTATCCATCGGATCTACTTCAGTTTTGGTGAGAAACACTTGGGAATCCAAGTGTTTCCTATCAGTATATTTTGGGCGTGGGCCCAAATTTCTATAAAAAATAAAGATCCAAAATATTATAAAAAAATTTAAGCAAAATCTATTGACTTAAAGCTTAAAGCAACAACTATCGAACCTCCAAACAATTTATTGATTGTGAAAAATTTGAGAAAACTTCAACTAACAAAAAGCTAATATCTTGTCAAGAAAATCGTTATGATCACACCCTCAAAAGATCTCACGCCAGTAAGGACATGCCACATATCCTCCAATTTAGTAGTTTTGCCACCAAATTGCACTACTAAATAACAATTATGACCAACACCCTCTGACCAGATGATTTCGCTACAAAATACCATAATTATATTACAGACATATCTATAGTCCGAATGCTTGCAAATGGCTTCAGCCCCTTTAATTGTGAATTACAAGGCACACTTAATAAAGCATTGAGCCCTTTGTTAGTTAAGGTCGACTAAAAATCAACCCTTCTAGCAAACATTCCAACTCAATCTACAAGGTCCCCTTGGATGATGCAGTTGCCAACAAAGATATTTTGGTCATATTGGGTTAATTTCCTTCACTTACTATGTAGATTAGGAAACATAACAATCCAAAATAACTAAACTATAAGATTTTGATCAGACTCGTCATCATTCCCCGAACCATCCACTTTAAGCTAAGAGTTGTAATTTTTTTATCATAAAATCACAATTTACTGCTACTATATAATAAATATTTAGGATCTCTCAATCTTAATCAAAAGTTCTCTCCCACTATTATGAGGGATAATTAACTATAGAGATTTAACAGCATAGGAAACCTAAAATCAAATCATAAAATATGAGAGAAAATTTATGGTTAGTGCCTTATCTGAAATCAAATCTATCTTCTTAAAAATTAACCCAGAACTAAAACTCACTCATAAGAGTCAAGGTGTGAATTTTTGAAGCCCCCACAAATAAATTGTCTAGCATTTTACACGATTTAATAAAAGAATTGCATACCATAAAAGTCTCTACAAATAGGTATGGTAGGAAAATGCTTTCCTCGTAGCTTGATCAATGATTTTAAAATATTTTTTCAAAGAAAATTTATAAGAGGACGACCGTGTAACCTAGACTAATCAAGGAGTTTTAACTATATGAAAATTAATTACAAACTTTCATCCTCTGGATGATCATAAGATTGATAATAAAAATATCAATCAATAAAAAAAGTTTGACTAACATCAATTGATCGTAACCTAAGCAGTATTTGATAATGTGATTTTGCCAACCAGTGATGATAATTGTCATCAGCCAAGTGAATAGTCCCTTGGGGTAAAAGGCACAACATTAGGCTCTTTTGAAACCCTAATGGATATATTGAGTCACTATAAAAAAAGCAAGCCATGCCGACAAACACACTCATGAAGGTTGGGTGATCGCACCCAACAATTGGAGGCAATAGTGGAGTGCTCTTCTGCAAGAAGAAAATAATTACCTAGGAGTAAACTTTGGCCCATACCAAGCTAGTTTAAGAATGATCGACATTTCTTAGCTCATTTGAACTTTAACTTGTCAGTTCAAGCTTCTAAGGATAGCATTTGACATTTTAGAGTTTGTTTAGGGATAAGTTAAGCTTATTTAATCATGTTAAAACTAAGTTATCTCATACTCTAGTTCAGCTTTCTTATGATGCTTCTTGATTCTTGATATGCCAAAAACATTATGCATGCTTAACAAGATTTTGAGAAAACCAACAAAAATTCTCATGAAAGTTAATCAAGCTTTGTTACCGTATTCCATCGAACTTTCTAGAAACCTTTTGGTTCTAGACATTCCTTGAAAACTAGCAAGCATCAACCTGGACTAATAATCAAGATCTCAAGGGTAGCACTTCACCAACAATTATGATGGCAAATTTTACTACTGCTAGAGTACTATTTCGTCATTCTTTACATGCATGTTAATAAGGATTAGTTTAAAAAATTAAGCATAAGTGCAACTCTTGCAAAGGAACTATGGAAGAAAATCCACAAGATAATTTAACTAACCTTGGCACATTGATTACGAGCCAGGTTCCATTCTATTTCATCATACGGAATAGTAAAAAGCTCCTTCCTAAGTGACAGAATAGTTGATGTAATTGGACCCACAAACCTTTTCCCATATAGATAAGACATGGGTAAATAAACCATCCGGCAGTGACACCACATCCGTCCTAAGAAGATAAAGGGAAAAGGAAAGCTGAAAGTTATGGATATGAAGGAAATAAATAATGACAATGAAAAAATACTTTACAAAACAAAAGTTCTGTCAGATTCACTGAGAATATGATAAAGCAAGCATGTTAGATGAGGAAATAGGAATTCATATTGATATTTTTTATGGTTAGATGGATCTAAATGTTAAATCACAAATTTCAACGAGTACTATGTCATGATTGAATGAGCAAATAACAATTTTTATTGACTTTTTGAAAGAAGAATTAGCAATGTAATGTATGTACTTTAGTGAGTCAAATATGCCAAAACAAAAACAACCATAATATCAGGACTATCAGCAAATATTTAAATTCCTTCATTTTGTTCCAAATACAAGTATTAAAAAAATAGTGGATTAAAGATCAAAAGATCAGGAGACCAATTGAATGGAGAGGGAAATATAATAGCATAGCATGGATGGAATGTTCAAGAAGAGTCAAGGGGAAAGGTTTTGTTTATTTAAGTAGCCTTGAAAATTAATGGCAACCTTCTAAGGTAGTTCATCAAAAGCATCTTGTTAAAGCTTCTTAAATGACAGTTTTCTTAATAGGGAAAGTAGCTTGTCACCAATCACTATGATAATCATGCTTTTATTCCTTACGTAGAGGAATGTAACACCAAGAAAAATATAAATAAAAGAGAGCAACTGAAACAGAAGCACGATAAAAAGGAAAGGAAATAACAACCTGGATGAACTGGCAAAGCATATGGGAGTAACCAGATCTCCGGAGGCAGGGGATTGTTTCCAGACCAATCAAATATTCCAAGAATCTGCAATTATTTTGTATAATAGTCATAATTACTGAAATGCAATTCAAGATTTTGATTAAATTAATGCTAAGTTTAGAAAATTACTGAAAGCCAAAATTTTCCCCATGAAGTTATATGTGTTGCACCACCATGGTCTAATATCCAATCTCTTCCCTTTTGCATAGCTCCAGCTCCATCTTCAGCTCCTTCACCAAGTAACCTCAATGTAACATATGAAAGTACTGAACCAAACATCGTGCTATGGCCTTCAATATGCAAACCCCATCCACCATCTTCATTCTGCATTACATGTACACCTTTTGTAAGTAAACTTTCTTTGAAATGCAGATATAAAAACTTTGATGAGAAGAAGAATTCAAATGAAACAAGAAGATTATCTAAGAACCAGATAAAGGTTTACTTGATGGTTATAAAGATAACGACACATCTCCTTCTGATGCTCTGATGATAGAACAACATTGAGTGCTCCAGTAACATATAAGGTTATAATCTGAGAAAAAAAAAGGATGATGTAAACTTTTGGATAATTGTCACTGGACATTCAAGAAAAGCAAATTGCTGCTTATTACGCACATGGACGTTATTCAACAAGATGGATAAAAAGTTATTTTTAAACCTACGCATAATTCATTATAATAGGATTACCTTCTGTTGTCGAAATAAAGCAAGGAAATTACCACACAAAAAAAAAGTTTGTAAACTAGAATATTTTTTGCAAAAAGCATAGAGATCCATAGCATGACAGAAATAAATGCAATACCGAAGTAAGAGATTACCAAACCAGGCATCAGAAACATGGGGCCACCATAATCTCCTGGCCAGTGTCCATCATGAGCTTGGAGAGTGGATTGACAACTGATAGCCCTTCTTAGAGTTGTTGAAACAGCCTCCTCCGTCACATCTTCATGCTCTTCCAGCTTGATTCGTGGAAATCGTATTTCAATAGGATTTTCCTTTGCAAACTGCGTCCAAATACATTCAAAAGAAGCTCAACTACAGCAATTCAAGCAAGCATATACACACTGGAGACAAACTAAATGAGGTATTCTTTTCAAAACTCTAATATTAGACATTTAAGGGAAAGAAGAAGCTTCATTCTGATAAATCAATTACTTATTTCAAGACATTATCATTCCAAATTTTCCAATTTCAGTGCACTACACAGAAATTAAAAATTGCAAAAGATTGCAAGAAAATATGTTGACAAAGGCAGTTCACAAATAGGAAAAAAATCATCTCATCAACAACACTGTTCATATCAATATCTGAAACGTCCAACAAAGTTTGGATCACAAACAATTAAGCACAAATTGTTAATTATGAAGCAAAGAAATTTCTATCTTCAACGTTCAATGCCGATAACGAACAGGTGGGAAAAAAAAACAGAAATCGGCTTTTTTTTCATTACATTTTAACGAATCAAACTGTATGCTAACCTGCAGCCGCATGGGTATATCCGCGCTGTGCTTTATACTGAATCGACTCTTTCGGAAAGCTTCCCGTGCCTTTTCAATCTCTGCAATCTCCTCTGGCGTCCCCATCTCCGGGTCAAACTCCCATACCTGTCTCCCCACATGCCCATTCGTTGACCTCAGCCATGGGCTCCCCCCTTCCGCGATCTTAAGCTTCCACATTAGCAAATCAAAGCATACTCTGCCAATCCAGTACGAAGTATTCACCAAAATCAGATCAAAATCTGCAAAACTGGAACCAAATTAATGAGATTTGCATACACACCCCCACAAACAAATATAACTACAGAAAAAAGAGAAGAACAAACCTCAAAAATGAAGCAGAAGAAAACTATATTTGAAAATTCCTTTCACGAATGCCTGCAGTGATCTTTATCATTAAAAAGTACTGATAAAGAGAAACTTGCAGACACCTTGTAAACGGCAAATTTAGAGGACGATCCTAAAATAATACAAGCTCTTAGGGGCTGTTTGGTATCGGATTTACAGCGGGATTTAAGTCGGATTTAAGCTAAATCGAGCCAAACGGTTTTACAGCGCGCGTTAAACCCCGGGATTCAATAAATCGGATTTACAGCTTAAATCCCAGATTTACTAAATCCCTCGGTTCGGCGGATTTAACGGGATTTAAAGAGAGGCGGAATACTTACCCGCGGCGCCCGTGTCGTGAATCTCGACCGTTGCCCTTATTTGCCGAAACCAACGAAGCCAGCGCTCTACCCCGCCGCCTCAACCTCTCCGATTCTCTTTCTTCTTCCCCCCGCCCGGAGTGTAGCTCCCACGATACGGGTTGAATCTCGACCGTTGCCCTTATTTGCCGAAACCAACGAAGCCAGCGCTCTACCCCGCCGCCTCAACCTCTCCGATTCTCTTTCTTCTTCCCCCCGATCCGCATACCAAACAGCCCCTACGGGTTTTTCCTTTCTCTGATTTTGGGCAGGGTAGCCTGAGTTAGCTTCTTATTCGTGATGTGTAGATAGAAATAGAATATCAAATTTCTTGCCGTTTTTTTTTTTTTATTTTTAAGGTTGCTTATGTAGAATATGTACACAATTCTGTATAATTATTGGTGCTGTACAGTTTGCATCTTATAACAACTTGTTAAGCAAAAAAATTTTCAGTTAATTTAAGTCGCCGTAGTTCATATATGTGTAAGTCAAATTTTTAACGAAATTATTCATGACATTTTATTCACTTTAATTTTTAAATATCGCCTTTATATTCTACTTGAACTATTGCCTATTAATATAATATTTGTTATGTTAATGTGACAAACCGCTATAAATCCGGATATATCTTAACAACAGTTTCTCAGGATTTAATAGGATTTAGCATTTGGCATACCAAACAGTTTTCAAGATTTAACACATTTCGGATTTACTAAGGCTTCGTTTTGGACGACTTTTTTATTGCTTTCTAAAACGGAGTTTTAATACAAATTTTTTTATTTTTTTTTATTAAAACTCCATTTTAGAAAGCAGTAAAAAAAGCCGTCCCAAACGAAGCCTAAATTCTTATATATCTTAACAAACAGTTTCTCAGGATTTAATATTTGGCATACCAAACAGTTTTCAAAATTTAACACATTTCGGATTTACTAAATCCGGATTTATAGGAGTTGTTAAATCCCAGTAAAGTTAAATCCCACTTGTTGTCAAACAGCCCCTTACTCCAAATGCTGAGCTTTATTCAAGAAAAAAAATGCGAGCTTTTCCTCACATGTGATCGTCTTGGAAGAGAGAAATTATTCGGTACATAGCGGAGTTTGGACATTAGTTTCATATGCTGGCACAAATTGACAGGTGGATATTAAATTGTATTTTATTTTTTATTTATGTTGTTTTAGCCTAACTAATCTTATCCGATTCATAAATGAAAACTTTGAATGCACAAGAGTTCAAAAGCTCAGAGCTAGTCATTTTACTTTTCATCCTAATTCATTGCTCACTTATGCTTCACTGCATTTTACTTGCTCTGTTGCTGCATTTTCATTGTGTTTTTCTTTATGTTCACTATATTTTTTAAGCTTTTTGATGTTTTTATTATTTCTTTCACTATGTTTTTATTGTGCTTTAACTATGTCTTAATTGGACTTTTCTTATGCTTTCACTGCGTTTTTCTTTATATTCACAATGTTTTTGAAGCTTTCTGAAGCTTTTTTATTTCTTTCACTGTGCTTTTGATGCGCTTTTATTGAATTTTTTTTGGTATATTCACTACGTTTTAAAGCTTTCTAAAGCTTTTGTTATTTCTTTCATTGTGCTATCACTGCGCTTTTACTACACTTTTGTTGCGCCTTCACTGTGCTTTTACGGCGCTTTTCACTGCACTTGGCTATCTCTATGCTTTCTCTAAGGTTTTCTTTATACTTACTACATTTTTTTTTTCAGGAAAAAGTTTAAAAATTTTATGATTCCTTACCAAATTCGCAACACAAATAAATTCTTCCAACAATCGTAAGGTAGAGCAGCATGCATAGTATGTTAATTATCATCTCGATATGGACAGAGAACAAATATTTATTCTTTATTTAATATAAATGAGGACACAAAAGGATCCTTTGAGTTCAATATAATAAAATGGAATATCCAAAGTGTTTGTGCAATTCTGAACAAAATGAACAGTATTTATCGTGGAATATTTTTTTGCATATATATGAAAAAAGTAATTCAGTAAAGGAAAGTGGATTGAACATACCATAAAAATTGGGAAGATGAAATGCGAAAATTTATGGCTAAAATAGCATATGCTCTTGTTCTTGCAATAAAGAAATAAACTTGTTTTCTATATATTTTGTATTATCATGGATTTGTTTTTTATTAAATTATTTGATTAATTCTTTAATTATACTATATCTACTTGCAATTTTTAATAAAATAATAATGCACTTTTTAATACTACATTCCTTTTTTAATGCTGCATTCATTTTTTAATACTGCAAATGCCCAATGAAAACGCAGACAAAGCACAGCAAAAGCATAGTGAAAGTGCATTAAACTATACAATTTAGTTTTGAAAATTAAAGTTGACGATAGTCAAAACCACTGATTAACTACTAAAGCGCAGCTAATGCGGAACAAAAGCACAGTGAAAGCGTGGCTAGAAAATTTTTCTTATAAATTTAATTCATAGTGAAAACACTTATAGTAATATGATCTGAACTAATAAAAATTCATTACAACAGAGAGTTCCAAACAATGCAATCTAGTTTTGAAAATTAAAGTTGACAATAGTAAAAAAAACTAATGACTTGTCAAAGAATAATAAAAGCGCAGCAAAACTTCAGTGAAAGTGTAGTGAATTACAAACCATATTGTAATTTTATAGAAATTTTTTCTTACAAATTTAATTCATAGTAAAAACACTTATAGTAACATAATTTGAACTAATACAATTTGATTACGATAGAGAGTTCCAAACTATGCAATCTAGTTTTGAAAATTAAAGTTGACGATAGTAAAAAAAATTGATTAACTTTCAAAGCGCATTGAAAGCGTAGCAAAAGTGTAGTGAAGGAGCAGTTAAAGCATTGTGAATTACATATTATATTGTAATTTTCTAAAAAAAATTCTTACAAATTTAATTCATAGTGAAAACACTTTTAGTAACATATTATGAACTAATAAAATATGATTACGATAGAGGGTTCTAAACTGTGCAATTTAGTTTTAAAAATTAAATTTGACAATAGCCGAAACCACTAACTGCCAAAGAGCAGTGAAAGTGTTGCAAAAGTGAGGTGGATTACACATTATATTGTCATTTTTTAGAAATATTTTCTTATTAATTAATTGCACTTCTATATTAGTATTTACTGCGTATTATCTGCTCATTTACTCCGTATTTGCTATGTATTATGAATGTGCATTTAGAACTAAACTTATAAGGAAAAATTATTTTAATAAATTGTTGACAAATAGAAAAATAAATCACGATTTGGAACATATAAATGAAGACATACAAAAAACAACCAAAACCCCAAACTTTCCCTTACAACCAAAATTTTCTCCAAGGCGCTTCCCCCGGAAACCCTCGCAGGTCGAACATTGTTAGGGGGTACTACCCCTTCAAACCCCTGACATATTTCTTAACTATACAAAAGAAAAAAACTATTATTCCTTCAGGCTGCAGCTCTTTTAACTTAAATTCTTCCTCTTTCTTGGTCTTTGCATACTATTTTTCAGATTTTGCATTCTGTAGGCATATCATCTACTCGAAGAATGAAGGTATTTTTAAAAATCATTCTTCATCTCATTGGTTCTTCCTCATTTTTTTCTTTCTCAATAGATATTAAAAATTTATTGATCTAAAATATTATATATTACGGAGCTTTTGCAGTTATTTTTATTTAAAAAATAGTGTCAACCCTATAACCTAATTTTAAATGAGATGCTAAACCTCTAGGCTGGGCCAACCAGGCCAATAAGATAAAAAATAAAAATGAAATCCAATTTGGATATTCATGTCTTCAAACTACATATTATGATTTAATTTGAATCCGAATATAAAGACACATCCAAACTCCGCACATAAAATTTTCTCCTTGGAAGAACTAATAGGTTTCGCACCCTTGAGGCAACTGTACAATCTAGCCTCTCCAAAGGTTTAAATTAGTCTTTTTTGTCATCCTCTGCTACCTGATTAGTTTCTCGGATCCTATTTTTTTAATCTTGATGAGATACGTGAGAGAACTCTTTTTTTTTCGATTATTATTTGTTTTCAAGAGTTATATATATTAGACCATGCATAAGTTTTTCTCATCTAAAATTTGTTATATTAATAAATACAATATTTGATTAATTTATCTTAATAGGCTTGACAATATCCTTAATGACAAAAAAATTGCAATAAGATAGTTAAGAGATCTCACATGCAACACAAAAAATGGCCTTTAGTGTATGTGCTTCCCAATACCATTGGTGAACTTCGGAAGTGAAACAAGGAAGGTGTGACCCTTCGGGCTTTGCACTTTCGCTCCACCTTTCCACCTCTTTCTTTTAGTCTTCCTCTCCCCCTTCTCTCCAACAATGGATAAATTATTCTATATAGAATCCAGACTTAGCTCTACATCCGGACTCCAATTAAATCTTGACATGTGGATATTTAATTAAATTTAATTTTTATTTATGTCAGGTTAGACTAGCCGACCTGACCCGTAATTTTTTACCTTTTGGAAGAGGCTTTTAGGGTTGGCGCTCCATTTTAAGAAAAAATTAATGAAAGCTCCCAAATTCAAATAATTAGGACTTTTAATACCTGCTAAGAAGAAAAAAATGAGGAACAAATGATGAAGATTGAGGAGAACATTGCATTATTCACGGAGATGGCATGCTCATAGGACATGAAGGATGAAAGGATATATGCAAATGTTCACGAATCATAAATTAATTTGGTCAGAGCTATTACAAGTTTCAAGTTTTCGATAAATTTCAACTTCATCCCAAGTTGTTATAAGGGTTTCCCAAGTTTTATAAATTTTTTACATGGGCTACGATGTGTGGATAGAATACCCATACTAAAATAAAGCTAGATAGAAAAAAACACATCAATGCTCAATACAAGCTCATACAAGTGGAGTAAATAAGAAGTGGTGTGCAATAAAGACTACATATTACTATGCTTTTATTTTTTGAGTGTATTACTATGCTTTTATTTTATTTTTTTTGTATTACCATGCTTTCACTAAGCTTTTGATGTGCTTTCATTATGCTTTTGATGTGCTTTTTCAGTGCTTTTGATGTGTGCTTTTCGCTCTTTTGATGAACTTTACTTCGTATTACAGGTTGTGTATA